ACTATAAGTTGAAAATTCAACCATGAAATAAGCCGCAATTCCTTCTCTAATGAATTTACAGCCTGGTAGGAAAGGCAGTCAAGTTGTTACTAACATCTTAAATCAGAGCGCTGCCACTTACTAGCCTTATGATCTTTCCCTCTTAGAGACTCAGTTTGCTCACCTGTAAGTTGGACACCGTGGGTGTAACTACATCACTGAACTGGTCTGATGGGTACACAGTTAACATGTATAGATCTGGACACGCGGTCCCTAATGATTTGCTTTCTTCCTCGTCCACTGGAGAGGGAGCCCCACTAGGCTGGGATCTCGTCTGTTTTGTTCCCTGACGTGTCCCCCGTGCCATAACAATGCCTTGTGATCGTAGCTGATGAACACATGCTCCCTGATGTGTTCTTGTCACTGTTATTATAACACACAGATCGGGGCCCTGCCCATGGCTGACTTCCCTCAGGAAAGCACGTTGCTCTGTTTTCAAGTACGTTCTGTGCACGTCGGCCTCTCCCCAGACACAGGCACTTCTGCTGCATTAGAAGCCACCCCTCCCTTCTCTCTGGCCCCACAGGTGACCACAGGTATGTGTAGCAGCTTAAGGGTGTGGGCTGGGCTGGCCCGAGGTTTCTCCGCTATGCACGTTGCTCCAGATGGTGGGAAGGTAGCAAGTAGCCCCCAGACATTCCTGACCACCTCTCAGAACACCAAGGGGTCAAATGTGTAGCAGGAAGCCTCTATTCACTGTGTAGTTAGAAGAAAGGGAGAGCCTGGAGAAAATGAACATTTTACTCAGAGTCACAAAACTGAGCCAAGCCTGGAACCCAGATCAGGGTCTCTTCTCCACCCCACAGCACTAGGCAGGTCCCAGAGTCCCAACCTCTGTGAACATATGGTGTTCATGTGCCCGTCACGGGCTGGAGGGGCCATTAGAGATGACCTGGTCCTGATCTGGTGAACATGCAGTCATTCCACTCTCCCCTCCTGAACTTGGGGCAGACATCACTAATCAATCCAGTCCTCGAAGCCCAGGAGCCACCTGGGAGGGCTTCTCTGCAGAAAGCTCCATCCAGTTCCTACAATTAATGAGGTGTACTTGACATATTTCTTGGAATCTCTAACACGGTCCTGACAGGAAGCTGAGGAACTCTACCTTCCAAAGATTATTCACCAGTCACCAGGGAGCCAGAACTTATAGACACAGGTGTACCAGAAGTTTGAGCCCATCTAGGTCATGCGGTCTTTATAGTGCACAAAATAAGAAATCTGGTTTCAATTGACTAAGCATAAAGCATATTGGATGCTTGATCTCCTCCCTTCATCCTCTCCATAAGCCTGTGCAGTGGGGTCATGTACAGATGGGACACCTGAGGTGTAATTATAGTATCATCATCAGTGTTGTAACCGTGTATTCGGAGCCTACACACAGCATCCCTCCACATCCTCACAGCACCCCTGGGAGGAGTCTCCCATACTTGGTCTCATTTTGCACACTAGGGACCTGAGGTTCAGGGAGATGCAGTCCCTTGTCCAGGCCACAAGCCAGCAACAGGGAAAGAGAGGATTAGAAAGCAGTCTGCCCGAATCCAGAACTGGGGTCTGATCACCGTCCCCTTGCTACCCTTTTAATTTCCATTTTGCCACGGGGATCCAGGTACCAGGTTGTTTACCTACTTTACAATGAGGCAGCAGAAGCCTGAGGCCAACTCCAGGTCTGAGTTCATTACATCACTCCCCACCCCCTGGGTTGCAGTCTTGAGGTGAGAACAAGTCTCTCCACAAGATTTTCCTCAGATCCCTCAGCTCTGTGCCCACAACCAGGGGAAGAGGGACCTCAGATGTGTACAAACCAGGCTCAGACATTGTGGAGGGTGGTCTGCTGATGGATCCAAGGCCCTGCTGGATGGGGTCCTCCATGTTCCAGCACCGGGCTTGGGCACCTGGGCTGCCACCCTCCCCCTGCTCTGTGCTCTGATGGTGGGAGCACAGTTACGGTGAGGAAGGCTGGCTCCTCAAGCCTCCAGCCCTGCCTGTACTTTGTCCTCGCTGAGTTCATCCGGTTCCTACTGAGATGCAGGTGGGGGAACGGAGGAGATGGACACAGGTGACCCAGAGGTCTCTGCTGGTGCTATAAGCCCGATGCCAAGTGGGCACCCATCTGGGCTTCCTGGACCAGGTTCCAGGTTGACAGGGTCCAATGCACCAGGCATAACAACCAACTCAAACAGCAGATGTCAAGGAATAAACATATTCAAGTCCAAGGACTCTCCTGCCCCATCAACTGGCCTCAATGTGACCTGACCGTCCCTGAGGGTGCAAATGCTAGTTTCCTATCCTTGTAAAACCTAGGCCAGTCACCTCCCTTCCCTGACCCTCAGTATCCTCAACTGGAAAATGAGGTTTTCCGTGCCTACTGAGTGGGTTGTCGTGAGCACCAATGGTGAACATGCACCCGCAGGCCAAGCCATTCACCCGGGCCACAGTCTCCCGAGACTTTCCAGCAAAGAGGTTAAAATGATGACCTCTAAGCTCTGTGTGGCTTTGATGTCTGTTGTGTTTCCAGTGTGGTTGTGTGACCCCCGAGTAGGAATCAGATTGGAGGAGGAAGACATGAGTTTACAAATATGTTTCCAGGGCTTCCTGTCGATTTGAATGGCAGGAGCTGACTCACCCTAGCTTCAATAAAAATAAAAAATAAGAAGCGAGACATGTATTTGAACTGGAATTTTTGTGGCAAGGAGGACTTCAGGTACACTTGGATCAAGGCACTGTAACAATGCATTGCCTCATTCCCTTTGTATAGCTTCTTTTTCTAGTGAGTTTTGCTAAAACATTTGTATATAAATACTATCTCGAGGACAAAGTAGACCCAGGCAATATGTGAAGACCTAAAGCCCCCTTTGTGAGTCATGAGATCTAGCTAAGGGTTTTTTCATTTCCTTTACTTTTTCAAAGATCTAATATTAGTTTGGTTAATATTTTCAATTATTTTTCTCTTCTTATTATATTTACTCCTGCTGTAATCTTCATTATACTTTTTTAGTGATAACTTAGGGCTTAGTTATTCTTTTTCTAATCCTTTAAGGTATAGATTCAGGTTGTTTATTTGGATTTTTCTTGCTTCTTTATGTAGGTATTTATTTCTATTCTTCCTCACATTTTAGCACTAGGGATACTATGTACAACATGGTAACTATAGCTAGCAGTGATGTATGATATATAGAAACTTTGTTAAGAGAGCAGATTAGAAGAGTTCTCATCACAAGGAAAAACTGTTTTTCTTTTTTATTGTATCTATATGAGAGCTTGAATGATAGCTTAACCTATTGCACAGAAATCAAACTGTTGTCTTCAAATTATACAGTGATGAATATCAACTTTTTTCTCACGAAAAGTGGAAAAAAGATTACTAAAAATGTGTTGAACCTTTTTTATGAGAGCGGACACTTCCTGAACTGTGTGTCTGTATAGGACAATGATGACAAGATAGCTTGGGTAGAGCTACCAGCTGGAAAACATGGTCTCACAGTTGTGGCAACATTGAGGAGTGGCCCCTACTTACTAGGAGACAGCTCCTGAGCAGAGTGGTGGGCAGAGGAGGATTGAGAAGCTGGAGGGAGGGAAGGAATGATGACCAGGGGATGGAACAGCCTGGACAAAGGCTCAGCACTGACCCGAGTGAGCTACTGCTCAAGAGAAGCCCTGAATTGGGAGCCCTCCCTGTGTATTTTGTGGGAGTGGGATTGTCACAAAATATAGACAGAGAGGAAAACTCTCATCCCTTTGCTATGTCAGGAGGGGAAGCGCCAGCTCTGACTTCCAACGGAATCCAGCTTCACCTCTGACCAGCTGTGTGGCCCTGGAGAAGTCACTTTGCTTCTCTGAGACAGTTGCCACACCTCCTCCAAGAACCATTCACTGCATCACTCAGTAGAAATCACAGTTGAGTGAGATACTGTGTATAAAGACTTAACATGGGATTTTTCAGCACTGGTTGACAGTAATTCGTGTGTAGAGGCTGACATTCATTTGTGCTCACCAGAGTCAGACTCTGGTAAAGCACTTTCCACTCACTGACTCATTTCATTCTCACGTCCACACAACGAGGGAGGTTTTGCTGTTAACTCCATTGGGCAGGTTTGAGGACTGTGGTTCTGAGAGGTTAGGTAAGTTGGCTGAGATCACACAGCTGGCAACAGCAGAGGCCAGGTCATGCTCAGCTCTGTCCAACCTCTCACCTCACGTGTGTCAGGAGCCCCGGCACAGCCTGAACTGATGTCTCTTGGGAGAGCTGCTCCAAGGCCCCCCCGACCAAGCTGCCCCAGGGGCTCAAGGGCCTCCTATGGTGACTTGACCTTGTGGGGCCTCCTTCAGACAGAAGGCCCTTGAGTGAAGCAGCGCTGGTTCGGGCCTCTGTGTGACCCTGGCCTCTCTTACCCTGAGTCTCCCATGAGGACGACAGTGGTTCTTCCCTCACACAATTGCACACAGCAGTGAGATGGCTCATGGCAAGATGGGCAAATGTTCTCTGGGCCTCTTGGCAGGAAAGTCAGATTGGCCTCCTGGACAGGAGAGGCCTGGGGTCCCTGAGGTGATAGCCTGGGTCTGTCCTCTGCCAAGGTGACACGGCTGTGAATAAAGGACTCTGTGCTCCAGACTCCAGGGCAAAGGGGAAACTGAGGGCTTGCATGTTGAGAAGGGCCATGAGAGACTCATCATCAGTCCTGGATGGGAGAGAACAAGGCCAGGACAGCGAGACCTGCTCTGGGCTGCGGAGAGGTGGCTGAGTACTCAGAGGGATGTCTCCTTTCTGAGCAAGGATCCCGTACCCATGGGTTTAAAACCTAGTCTTGCCAGATGTTACCTTTTAATCTCAACACATCCCTTGTCCTTATGAGCCTCAATTTCCTCATCTGTCCAATGGGGACAAGATTGGTGTCTCCTGCAGAAGGGTCCTATGAGGAGGTCATGAGGTCAGGTGTGCTGGCGAAGGCAGCGCTCCATCATAGCAGTGTTGTAACAGAAGCAGAGTGAGGCCGTCTGTACGTGACCTCAGGTCACCTGCTTGCCCATCCTGGGCCTCAATGTTCCTATTGAAAGACACGGAAGTGGAGCTGGATGATCCCAAAATTTCCTTCCAGCTACAGGTCCAGGTCTCTGCTGCCCTGATTGCCCATACCTCGCCTTCCCTGAAATTCCAGTGGAAGAAATGCAATGGGACTCACAGGAGGTGCAGAAATGGCTTTTTATTGCTGGAGGTGGAGGGTGATGAACATAGGATGTCCTGATTGTGAGGAGGAGTATCTGAGAGGTGTCCTTTTACTGGGCTCAGTTGTCACTCCTGGGGATGGTGGCAGCACCGAGGTCCAGAGGGAGACTGTACAGAGAGTCAGTCACGTCCCTGGGAACCAATCTGGAAGGAAACCCTGGTGTGAGGCATGGACACCCTGGGGCCCTTGCCGGCTCCTATGTTCAGCAAACACAGCTGCAGGGGTACTTCCCCACAAACCCTGCGAGCCCTGAGGCTCGGGGAGGGACTGACACCTGTGGTTTGGAGTCTGTCTCTGGCACCTGGCACTGACCCCTTCTCATGTGTTCACCATCCCACCCCCTCACCTTAGCAACAATGACCGATGTGAAAAGACTGAGCAAGGCTCAGAGGAGTCAGGGTTCAGAGCTCAGTATATGATCAGGATCCGGGATCAGACTGAGATACAGGTCAGTGCTCTATCCGTGACCAGTGGATAGAGGCTCAGTCAGGGATCATTCAACAACTGGAGTGAAAGCTATGCCTGATTGGGTTCTGGGCTCAGTTAGGGAGAAGAATCAAGTGCAGTCTGAGTGTGCGATTAAGGGTCAGGATTCGGTTTGTGACCAAGATCAGGGCTCAGGCGGCTACTAGAGAAAGAAGAGAAGCCAAGCTTTGCTTCTGCTTCTCCGCAGGCCCCTGTGTGTGTGTGTGTGTGTGTGTGAGAGAGAGGGGGTGTTTATCCTATCTCAGCCCAGGGCCCAGCGCCTGGCCCTCACCAGCAGGCAGGCATCACAGAGATTTTCCTCATCGGTGCTCTTTACTTTGTCTCTGGGATTTCATGCAGTTCATCTGAAAGAACAAATCAGTAGCAGTTCTCAGGTTGTAGCACTGGAAGCTGAATAGAAATCAGACACTAAAGGCTGAAACCATCCAGTGGGTCAGACTTGAAAGCCATGGACCTCTTACACGTCCCTCCATCTCTGAGCCTCAGTTACTTCATCTATAAAATGGGTATGATGACATTACCCATCCCCCCTGGGGTCATTCCAAAAATCCAGTGAGATAGTATATAAGAAGCACAGAGCGATGGCCCAGTGAAATGGGTCTGTGGCTCTTTTCTAGAAAAACTGCCTCCAGGACCCTGACACTGTTACTCACCCCACTTCTGTTGCCCCCCCAGCCCTCGCAACCCCAGTCTTGCCAGGGACCCAGGTCAAGAAGAGCTTCCAGGGGTTGGAGGTGAAGCCATAGCTCCTCATAAGAAACAAAAGGTAAGGGCCGGTGTTGATTAACAATGCCTACTTGATATTAAGCTCTTTCTGCTTTTTCTTTAAATCCACTCATCAGCTCGGCAGTGTTAACAATTTCCTTTCACTTGGGAGGAACCCAAGGCTCAGAGAGGTGGAGCCACTTGACTCCCACCCGAAAGCTGCTAAGAAAACATCCAGGATTTGAACCTAGATCTGGCCAGTCCTCTTTCTCACTACATTCTGGGCAGCAGGTTCTGCCAGTGTGACAAAGGAGGGATAGAAGCTCTCAGAGGCCCAAGAGGCCATCGGTCTGCAGGGAGGTCTCCGGCCGCACTTTCCAGACTTGCTCACCACGAAGGGTCCTCAACTTCTCCAGGGTGCCCTGACAAGACCTGCTGGTGCAGCAGGCATAGAGCAGTGTGCCCTCCCCTGTAAGGATGCATAGGGAGCCCCCTCACCATTTCCCCAGGCTGTGACTTACCAATGTGGTTCTTAACATACTCCGCATCCAGGCTTTCAAGGAAACTGTGGACTAGTGGGCACAGCTGAGAGTCACAAGGAGCCAGGGAAAGAGAGAGAGACACATAAATGCAGGGAGGGAGGAAACAAAGAGGTTGGGAGGTGAGGAGAGAGAGGAGAGACGGAGACGGAAGAGGACTGGTTATTACCTGCTGTGAGCACCCTGCCCCCCACCCACAGAGATGCTCAGTACTGAGGGCCCTAGAACTCCGGACCCTTAGGATTCTAGAGCAATGGAAACCTAGAAGGCCCAAATCTGAGAACCAGAGGACACTGGGATTCTAAAACCTCAGAACATTAGAATCCTAGAATCTTGAACAATCTAGATTTTTAACATTCCAGAACACTAAGCCCTTAGAAATCTTGACATCGGGACTCTGAAACTTTATAGAGTTAAATGGGTTCTGGGAATGATAGAGAAATGGTTTTGTGTTTTTCACACTTTTGTGTGCCTACAATTTCCTAAGGATGTTGTTAAAATGCAAATTACTGAGCAGCAGGTCTGGGGTATGATCTGAGTCTGCATTTCTCATGAGCGTCCTTGGGAGGTCAGTGCTGCTGGTCTGAGGACCACACTATGAGCCTGACTCAAGTGCAGAAAATCACAGAACAACATGGAGGACTTTTTTTTTTTTTTTTTTGATAAAACCAGATTCCCAGCCCCCTTCCGGAGTTGACTGATATAGAATCTTTGGAATTTCAGGCACATGGTATATATATGGTTTTTTTCATGTGATGCACATGAACCTGAACTATGGTATGTACATTATTTTTTTAATTTAAATGAATTAAAATTACATTGAATGAAGAAAAGTATTAGCTAAAAGGCCTACTGGCAGTCCATGTGTATGGCAAATGATTTAAGTGTGGGACCCAGTGATTTCAGCTCCGGTCAGGCCCCTACTCACCCTCCTCTCCAGGCCAGGCTAAGTGAAGCGGGGCAGGTAGCAACTGATTGCCCCAAGGAAGTTGGCCCCTCAGAAAAGAAGGTGTCCAGAGAGTACAGTCCAGCCAGGGAAAGTCACACCTGCCCCCACCAGGCCTGGCTCTGCACCCCAGGAGTGGGGGACTCACCTCATAATGCGTTACCAGGGACAACGCCTCATTCACGAGATTGACTGCAAAGTCCACAACCTCGTTGAGCAATCCAATGCGCCTGGAGAAGAGAGGAAACTGATAAAGGTCGGTGAAGTTGGCAGAGCAGCCAAGCAAGAGCAGTGGGAAGAGGGCAGAAGATGGTGAAACACCTTGAAGCCAGGTGACTTGGGCCTCTACCCAGGGGGATCACTACTTAGAACCCCATGGTTGACCAGCAGCTCTCCCCAATAACACATGACTGTCTCATCACAACCCTGAGACCTCACTGATCCAACCATCCATTCTATTCATCATCCATTCTTCCATCCAACCATCCATACATTCTTCTATCCATCTATCCATTCTTCTACCCATCTATCTATCCATTCTTCCATCCAACAATGCATCTAGTCATCCATTCATTCATTAACACATATTTAGAGAGCACCAACTATGTGCTCAAAAGCAAGACTGATTGGTGACACATAGATGAGCAAAGCACAAGCAACTCCTAATGTGGTACCTGAATACTGGGTTGGATAAAAGTTTTGTTTGGAGTTTCCTGCAAGACCTTATGGAAAAACCCAAAAGACTTTTTGGCCAATCCGGTATTATCACATTTTCCTAAGGCTGACTCCTTCCCACCTTCAGTTCTTGGCGTAACTGTCACCTTCTGAGGGCAGCCTTTGTGACTGCTTGCCTAAGGGAGGGCTTTCTGTCAGAGCACCTAGTTAGGTGTGCTGTTCTGCCCAGGGATGATGGCAATTGAACATTTTCCATGGGGGTTCTTTACTGCTCAAATGAAGGCTCCCCTGTCTGTCAGTCCCCCAGAGACTAAGCTCCATGAGAACAAGCACCTTGCCAGCAGTCACCAGTACTTTCTCCTGAGCTCAGAATGGTGCCTGCCTGTGTGGAGCTCCACACATTTTTGGCTGAAGGAATAAATGAAGTAAACATATGATTGAATATTTAAAGACAACTTGTGACAAGTATTGAGAAGGCTGAGAGTAGAATCTTATGAGAGAGAAAAGGAACCTTGTTTTAGACCCTAAATGATGAGACAAACATGAAAATGGAATGCAGGAAAGGTGTCCTAGGTGCCTGAGCAGCCCATGCACAGGTCTTGAGTGGAAGGAGTTTGTCTGAGGCTCAGAGCAAAGCTAGTGGGTCTAGGGCAGAGTGGGCAAGGTGTGGATCCAAATCAGGTAGAGCCTAGATGACGCTGGGAGGGTCTGAAATTCCACCTAATGTGGAGAGAAAAGTCCCCAGAGGGTTTGGAGCAGCAGAGTGGAATGCCGTTTACAGATACGGACACTGAGACCCGGAAGGTAGGATGGTTTCCCTGGCAATATAGGCTAGGCAGTGTCCAGTAGGGCTCAGGCATTTGGACTTACATCTCAGTCTTTCCATGTGCCAGTAGTCTGCAGACCTATTCTATCTTTTCTTTAGGGGGTCTGTAGGCAAAGCTGTGATCAGATACCTTGTTGGGGAGGATGAACTGACCTCTGCACATGACTCAGCTTCGTTCCTTTCCAAGGCCAACCTGCCCCAGCCTTCAGCTTCCAGACTAATTCTCTCCCAGCCAGGACCAGGATCAGCCTTTCTCCTTCCACCCTCTTCCTGGGACTAAACATCTTTTTTCAAGCACACAGTTTAAGATGTAGATTTGGTGGGTTACCAGAGATCAGTGATTTAAATGGAGAGGGCTCAGTTTTCAAGATGTCACTTTTGGGGAATTTTCCAGTGGGAGGAGGATGATTGGGGACAATTTGAAATTAGAGCCCATAGTAGACATTTACTATTCCTCTTGCCCTCTCCTAACAAGAAGCAGGAAAGTAAACACAGTGAATCATTATTATTATTATTGAGGGACACTATGTAATATGAGACCAGTCAGTTCTTCAAGTAGATGTAACAATGCTAAATGTGCATGCATCTAACAAGAGAACTTCAAAAAACATGAAGCTAAAACAGATAAAGCTGAAAGGTGAAATACAGCAATTCACAGTTATGGTTGGAGAGATAACACTCCAGTCTCAGTAAGGGAACAAACAAAGACACTGAAAGTCAACATGGATATTATTATTACTGAGAGCTTAGTATGTGCCAGGCTGTATGGTAAACACTTCCATTTTCTCATTTGGCTAACACAGTAGCCTATGAGTTAGGTGTTCTTACCATCTTTCATTTACAGATGTGGAAACTGAAGCATCTAGATGCTCAATTGATTACAAAACCACAAGTTAGTAGAAAAGCTAACTTGATTCCGAAGTCTAACCTCTTTTTTTTCATATTCCGTTCCCTCCCAGGTAAGGAATAGGGCTGAAATTATGAGTCCCAACTCCTCTGACATCCCCACTCTGCTGATATGTGTGCACCTGACCTGCCCAGCACGCTGAGAGAGATGCTGTGTTGATCGCTCCTGCATTCTTCCACGACCACCTTGGAGTCACCAGTGTCTTCATCAGTTTCAACGCCAACACAAAACTGTAGGACCAAGTTGAGGCCCAAGTCGACAATCTCACCCAACACAGGCCTGCAGGGAGATAGGTTCACAATGAACAGAGGTGGAGAAGTCTCTTCACATTGCCCACTTTAATCTCTCTCTGTGTGGACATTATATGGGATGTCTATTGACAAGGACAGGCCTGGTGTGCTGCGGTCCATGGGGTCACAAAGGTTGGATAGACTTAGTTGCTGAATGACAAGTGGACAATGTTAATACTATCTGTTTTCTTTATGGAATTTACATTCTTACATTAAGAATTTCTTCTCCTGGCCACAAGGGTTTGGCTCATGTGACATTTCTATAGAGTATCACACCAATGATTAAAACAAAAATAAGAGTTAACATTTCCTAAGAGAATACTATGTCAGGTATTTCCAAAAAGGTATTTTACCTGGATTAATCCATTTAATCTCTATAGCAATACCATTTGAAAAAAGTACTATCACTATCTCTGTTTTGAGAATGAGGAAACATGGTATAGAGAAGTTAAGTAACTATCTCAGGATCTCATAACTAATGAATGATGAAGTCATCATGCACTTTAATTTACAAAGACTCCCACACATCCTCGTTTCCTATCTCTTTGTCTCTTCAAAGTAATTAAAATACTTAGAAATTATATTTTTTCATATAATTTTCACATGCTATTCATTAAATACCGTACACTGCTATATGGGTCATACTGCCATTTAAAGAGAATTTTGAGACAAAATGATGCTGGAGGAAACTTTGCCAAAGAGTTGTAAGTGTTTGTGTCTTCTCAGTTCTCAAGTTTTATGATTAGATAAGTGTTAAGATTTTGGAAATATAGATTATGGGGGATTTTTTTTTAAAAAGAGATTTGGTTATGGGGGAAGTTTGTTAGAACATTTTAAAGGTTAGGATTCTAGAGTTGCAAGGACCTCCTTATTTTACCGATTGAGAGACTAAGACAGCAGGGTGAAAAAGTGCCTGATTTCAAATTGGAGATCTACCGGCCACACCACCCTGCATCCCCCAAACCTCAAATTCCAAGACATACTCACAGGTTCACGTTGACTTCAGCAGTGGTGGGGATTTTCACTATAGCACCTTTGCAATCAGGAGTCTTTTCGAATGTGATATCCAGGACGTGCAGATTACTGATTTTCACCCTGTGCAAAAACCACAGTTCACTCTTGTTATTCCTCTTGACAGCCGTTGCTGGGCTCTTGTCTATGCCAGCGTTGTGCTGAGCAGTTGAGCCTCATAGACCTTGCCTGCTTTGGTCTCATGAGAGTCCTGCTCAGGGGTTGGATTCTCTCCATTGGATGGCTTGGCAGACTGACGATCAGACAGCTGTGATTTCCCTCAAGACTCCAAGGGTGAATATGTGTCAGAGTCAGAATTTTTTTTTTAATTGATATATAGTTGCTTTAAAATGCTATGCTAGGTTCAGCTGTGGGGCTTCCATGGTCACTCAGAGGGTAAAGAATCTGCCTGCAATGCAGGAGACCCGAGTTTGATCCCTGGTTTGGGAAGGTCCCAGGAGAAGGAAATAGGAACCCACTTCAGCATTCTTGCCTAGAGATTTCATGGGCAGAGGAGCCTGGTGGGCTACAGTCCAAATCATTGCAAAGAGTATGACACGACTGAGCAACTAACACTTTCACTTCTCATTAGGTTCAGGTTACAGCAAAGTGATTCAGATATAGATATATATAGATACAGATGTATTTTTATTTCAGATTCTTTCCCTTATAAGTTATTACAAAATATTGAGTATAGTTCCCGGTGCTATATAGTAGGCCCTTGTTGGTTGTCTATTGTATATATAGTAGTGTGTATATATTTATGCCATACTCAATAATTAGTCCACACTGTTTTCCCTTTTGGTAACCATGAGTTTTGTTTTTTTATTTTAATTGTCAAGGAGTCTTTTTGTATAAGTTTTTAGTATCATATTTTAGATTCTATGTATTAGTGGTAACTATGATAATTGTCTTTCTCTGTTTGAACTACTTCATTTCGTATGCTTATCTCTACATCCACTCACTTACTGCTGCAAACAGCATTATTTCATTCTTTTTTATGCAGAGCCAGAATTAGAACCCAGAATGCCTGACTCCCAGACTTCATGTGTAGGGCTACCTACATGGTATGAATTCTATTTTCCTCTCTCCTGAGACCAAACTTTTATACTCAGTTATATTCAGAGAAGGAAAGTCTTATATTTGGGAAAAGGAATTTAGGCAACAGCAAACAGGTAGAGGAGGGGGTGAAGAGAAGCTTCATCCTGATTCTGATATCACGGAAGAGAAAGCCTAAACCCATGAGATACCTGGATAACCCACGCAGCCCTCTAGTTTTTCCAAGCTCTGGCGGAATTGGCCTGAGACCACTTGGCTCTGTAGGAACACACAGGTTTATTCCTATTCCCTGGTGGCTCAGTCGGTAAAGAATCCACCTGCAATGTGGGAGACCTGAGTTCGATCCCTGTGTTAGGAAGATCCCCTGGAGAATGGAATAACAACTCACTCCAATATTCTGTCCTAGAGAGTTCCATGATCTGCATCGCCAAAGAGATTGCAAAGAGTTGGACATGACTGAGCATCTGTGACTGTGTAGATCACAACAAACTGTGGAAAATTCTTTAAGAGATGGGAGTACCAGACAACCTTACCTGTCTCCTGAGAAGCCGATATGCAGGTCAAGAAGCAACAGTTAGAACTGGACATGGAACAGACTGGTTCCAAATTGGGAAAGGAGTACTTCAAAGCTGTATATTGTCACCCTGCTTATCTAACTCACATGCAGAGTACATCATGTGAAATGCCAGGGTGAATGAAGCATAAGGTGGAATCAAGATTGCTGGGAGAAATATCAATAACCTCAGATACAGAGATGACACAACACTTATGGCAGAAAGCAAAGAGGAACTAAAGAGCTTCTTGATGAAAGTGAAAGAGGAGAAGGAAAAGCTGGCTTAAGATCCTGGCATCTGGTCTCATCACTTCATGGCAAATAGATGGAGAAACAATGGAAACAGTGACAGACTTTACTGTTTTGGTCTCAAAAATCACTGCAAATGATGACTGCAGCCATGAAATTAAACGACGCATGCACCTTGGAAGAAAAGCTATAACCAGCCCAGACAGCATATTAAAAAGCCGAGACATTACTTTGCCAATAAATGTTCATCTAGTCAAAGCTATGGTCTTTCCAGTAGTCATGTATGGATGTAAGAGTTGAACTATAAAGAAAGCTGAAGGCCAAAGAATTGAAGCTTTTAAATTGTGGTGTTGGAGAAGACTCTTGAGAGTCCCTTGGACTGCAAGAAGATTCAACCAGTGAATCCTAAAGGAAATCAATCCTGAATATCCATTGGAAGCTGAAACTCCAATACTTTGGCCACCTTAGGCAAAGAACTGACTGCTTGGAGAAGACCCTAATGCTGGTAGATTGAAGGCAGGAGGAAAAGGGGACGACAGGGGATGAGATGGTTGGATGGCATCACTGACTCAATGGACATGAGTTTGAGCCAGTTCCAAGAGATGGTGATGGACAGGGAAGCCCTAGCATGCTGCAATCCTTCGGGTTGAAAAAAATTGGATACCACTGACTGACTAGACTGAACTGACTGACTTTCACTTTTCCTTTTGTCTTTGATATTTAACTTAGGTACCCAAAGAGATGTATTCTCTTTTCTGGGAACAAAAATCTCCAAATGAAGCATCAACTCACCCTGTCAGACTGTTCACTACTTCAAAAATTGCAGAAACGAGTTGTTCCAACAAGTTCTTAGTTTCCTCGGTCTTCTCCTGGGTCTCCTCAGCAGTCTTCAGTTGCTGCAAGATAGCTGCAAAAACAATCTCCTCTTAGTGTGGGACACAATTTACGAAGCAGCTCCTATGCACCAGGTACTAAATGAGAATATTTGCCTATGTTATTTCATTTAATCTCTGTAAGAACTCCATAAAATACATATTACGAACATCTGCACTTTCAGATGAGGAAAGAAAAGATCAAAAGTTTAAGAAATTGATCAGAGTCACACCGCTAGGAGACCTTGTTCTTTTTATGCCGCCTTTACGCTAATACATACTCATCATTCATCAACAAAGCAGTCAATCCACTGAGCAGGCAATAGGTATTGATTGCACATCAGCTTCTAGTAGTGAAGCACTAATGAGCTGCTTATGCAAACAAAATAAATGTAGAATAAAATAAGAAGTGGAAAATCTAGAATCAAAGAAAATATAAAGGTCTAAATCATGAAAGTGGCAAACAGGAGTACCTGAGTGACAGCTTTCCATGAGACCTAGGAAAGAGTTGACTAATAGAGGAGAACAAGGACAGAGTCCTAATGGACAGAGGAAAGAGGGACTTGATAGAGGGAGTGACATGGCAGATGCAGAATGGCACATTTGAAAAGTATTAAGAAAATATGTGTAGAAAATAATTCAAATGAGAAACAACAAGGCAACAACTCACTCATAGAAGAAGAAAAGGCAAAAAAAAAAAAAGAATAAGAAAAGGCTGCAAGAAAAAGTATGTAATCAAAGTACTGCAACGTGGCTCTGCAATGGACAGTATCTAGTTATAACGATGCAGCGAAGGAAACTACATGTGGTCTTAGAACTTACTAGGTGACTCTGATGCAGACACCTCTGGTTCTCTGTTCAGAAGCATTGCTGTTTTACCAGCAATGATTTGGAAAGTAGGTCCCTCCTATATCTACGAGGTTGCCTAAGCCCTGGCAAGGTTTGAAGGGCAGTCCTTTACAGAAGATAGCTTCTCCTACAAAGGATGTTTAGCAGTGTCCCAGTAATGTTTCCAAAAAGTGAAAAGAAGACCAAGTTCTTTCAATAAATTAGAATGACAAGGAAATATGATTCACTAGAAAGGTAGGTAATTTTAAAGCTACCTAGGCTAGTTAGAAATGCTTTTCCAGTTCGTTAATTCAAATTCCTAAGAAAACTGGAAGACCCAACAGAGGAATATGTTACAAATATAAATTAAATATTTAAGTTACAATACATAAATGGCTAATAAATAGGAAAAAATGAGGGAATGCTTTCATAGTTAGAGAAATGCTGCGATAAATTATAACCTTTATCTGTGAGACTGGAAAAAATCTCAGTTGTCCAAACCAGTACTGTCAAGAGAGTAGAAAAAAGGTACTCTCACAAATGATTGGAGAAACTATTAACATATGGGATTATTTGTCAATATGTACTGTAAATTAAAATATGCATACCTTTCAAATTTTTGAAATGTCACTTTGAGGATTTTATCCTATGAATATATTAGCAAAGTTTACCATGATATAAGATGTAAAGTGATATTCAGCTAAGTATTGCCTGTTTCCAGAAAAATAATGAACAAATGAGCCAGGAATCAGTCAGTCACCTCTCTCAGTAAACCACCCATAAGGAGCTGCCCCTGCTGGCCGCCTTTGGTAATACAGGCATAGTATGTAGGAAGCAAGCTCCCAGGTGCCACTGATCATCCATTGTTGACTCACTTTCAAGTGTACTGTCAAGATTGTCAAGTCCTTCCTCAAGACCAGATTTCAGCTTCCTCAGAACATCTTTGCCAATATTGTCAAGAAAAGACGCTGAGGTCCCGGCGAGCAGGCCGCACAAGAGAACAAGTTTCCAAAGCTGAAACATCTTGTCCTGACACCTGAATAGTCATGGAAAGAACAGGAGTGAGAATTACCCACAGGGAAATGGCATCATGGATGAGCACCTACGACTCTTACACTCAACAGTCCTTGACGACAGGTGCGGTTATCTCCTCTCTTACAGATGGGCAACCCAGGTCAAAAAGCTAGAGAAACTTGCCCAGAGATAAACAACCAGTGAATAAAGGAGCTACTGTTTGAAAAGTCACACTTGACTCCAGGTCAATTCTCTTTACTGGAGGTCCTTTGCACATGCTGGTTTCCCTGCATGGAACATTTCCCTCTTCTTTTCATTTTTAGGTGAATCTCTTCTTACTGACTTTCCAGCTTCAGTAGGACATCATGTCCTCTTGAACTCTCCTCAGACACTAGGTTAGGTGGACTCACTCCACCAACTTGCTGCCTTCATTCACTGTTCAGAGTCCTGGGTACCAGTTAGTGACAAGTTGGCTGCCTTTCCCACCAGGCTGTGAATTCGTTAGAGAAGGGATTTTGACTTATTTCATAATGAGTTGAATTCCCAACTCATAGCAAAAAATCTGCCACTAGTAAGCACAACAAAATAAAGTTTGACAAATAAAAGTATGAACAAATAAGTGGTCACCACATCATGATGCTGCATTCATCATTGGTTTGACATTTCTCCTAATTGAATCTATTTCTTAGTTTGCCCCATTCAAAATATTAGCTAATTCAAGTGGCCCCACCCCTCTGCCTCTTGTCCTTGGAGCCTTCGGAATGGCTTCCCTGGTGCCTCATGGGAAAGACTGCAGTGCATGAGACCCAGACTCAATCCATGGGTCAGGAAGATCCCCTGGAAAAGGAAATGGCAAACCAGAGCAGTATTCTTGCCTGGAGAAATCCATGGGCAGAGGAACCTGATGGGCTACAGTCCGTGGGGTTGCAAGAGTCAAACACAATGAGCGGCTAATTTAATCTCTGTGCCTCTTTTCCCCAACGCCTTCTGTAGGCCTCCATGTGGAGTGACAATAAAGGGGAAGCCCACCATTCACAGGTTTGAAGAAAAATACTTACAAAGTCCTTGCTCCTCTGCACAGTCTCCTGGAATTCTGCTGGGCAGTGATGGTACTTATATTGATGGCGATGGGGAGGGAGGCTGTCCCCAAAACAAGCTCTGCGTCCAGAGCCATCCAAGGAGACTCCAATGAAAATAAGCCCTGTCCAGAGTGAACAGAGAGACTTCCAAAGCAAAGGTCAGCCAGGATGCTTGAACTGGATGACTATGGAGAGGACTTTGTGCCAAGACTAAGAGCAGGTTCTCATGGAGCCTCCTGCTACCAACATGCTGGCCATGTGGGTGGGGGCCTGGGGCTGAAACTGTGAATGGATGAATTGGAGAATATTCTGGATCCATAGAAGGATCCATAGTGATCATCTAGCTTAATTTTATCAGTATTTGCAAACTCAGGGTCAGAGAGGGAAAGCAGCCAGCCTCTAAGACAGAGACAGAGATGGGGCTAGACTCGCAGCCCATAGTAGCATCAGGGTCAGTGACCAGTGAAGTCGTTCTTCCCAAACCTTGCCTTGTGTCCGAGCACTCTCCATAACATCCTTCACAGTGGAACCAGCCTCGGGAAAAATACTTGCAATGACAGGTTGCTAAGGACCCACCCTCCCACATCTGCCCACTCCAATGAGTCAGTAGAGTTTCTCCTGAGAGTGAATATAGTCGGCCTCTGTTTATACCCCATATACGCGGTATCCCTCTGCACACATGCCCCCACCCCCTCTACTCTCAATGCAGCTGCCAGAAGTTAAAGCTCTCACCTTAAACAGAAGTCCCCATCATGGCTCCTGTGTCATCTACTCACTGCCACCCCAAACGCACCTATACCTGTCTCTCCACGGCTCTATTGTCTTCCTTCTTTTCCAGAAAAATAGAAAATTCATTGCTGCCTCGGCCCTCTGCACCGACCATTCCCTCTTTATAGAACTCTCCTCTTAAAGCCAGTGTGGCTTGGGTCCTGCAGTTCAAACTCACAGTAAGTCCTGACTTAACACATTTATAGTTTCACATCAACTCCTCCCTTTAGGTGACAACTCCGGGGTCAACTAACCACATTGGAAACATAACAGACATCAAAGTCATAGGAGCGCTTAGAGGTCAACTTAACCTCCTTGCTGGGAAGACTGGGGAGCCTATGGTCCAGAGAAGGAGAAGGACTCAGCCAAAGCTAGACGTGAATTGAACCCAACTTATTTTCCTCTTCCATTTCACATGTTTTAGTTCTGTTGAAGTTTTCTGCCAGGCCAATATATTTCTAAAAGTAAAGATTAAATAAAATTATCAAATAAGTTTGCTTAAGCGATGGATGCCTGAGCTCCTCTCTAGACACTTAGAGTCAGGGTCTGCAGGGTGGCTGACCAGAAGTGGAGGTAACTGGACTAGGGTGGCTCAAAGGTACTTTTGACCTTGAGTTCTAAGAGTTCTGATCCCAACACCATCCTCTGGAACCCCACCTCTGCCCAGACATGACTGCACAACACTAGGTGCTTATCTTGCTTCACCTTTTTTTTCATCTCAGAAGCAAGCAGGTGGGAGTGTTACTGTCTTTATTTCTTCACTGAGGAAAGTGAGGCTCAGAAGCAAAGGATGACTTGCTCAGGGTGGAAGAGATGGGAAGGGGCAGATCTGGAGAGGGCAACCAGTTCTTAATCCTCTCACTTCGAGATCAGCTGTTCTAACTCAGCCTCTGGGAGCAGCAGCAAGTCTCACTCTTTGGCCCCAGTAAGTCCAGGGCAGTACCTGGCCATTTGCTTGGCACTGCAGGACTGTTTTCACCATTGGTGCTCATGACAACTCCCTAAGGAGGTTTGGAAAGTTCCATTTTCTGGTTGAGGTAACTGAGGTCCAGGGAAGGGAGGTGACAGCCATAGGTCTCACAAGGACAGGAACCAGCAGTTGCAATCTCAGGGAAGGACCTTTCTCTCAGATCACACTGAGGCCAACTGTTGGGGCAGGAGAGTCCTTGCACTTGAATACCCTGTTTATTCCCTGACCTCTGGTGTTTGAGTTGGTTGTAATGCCTGGTGCATCAGGCTCAGGTCAACCCGGAACTCCCAGTCCAGGAAGTACAGATGGGTGCCCATATGGCAATAGGCTGGGAGCACCAGCACAGCTCCAGGTCACCCAGGGTCAGTCTCCTCCGATCACCTACTGCACCTCAGCAGGAACCTGTAACACTTTGACGTGAGCGCGACCAGGTCAAAGTAGGGGTAGGACCAGAGGCTTGCATAGCTAGGGTTCCTCAGGCTGAATATGATCCTGTCATCAGAGCACAGGGCAGGTGTCCAAGCCTGGGGCTGGGACACGGAGGACCCCATCCAGCCGAGCCTTGGACTGATCAGCAGACTCACCTCCCAGGCTGTCTGTGCCCAGTTCTGCAAACGTCCAGGCCCTTACTCCCCTGGTTGTGGGCACAGAGCTGAGGGCTGTGCCGGAATCTTGTGAAGAGAGTTTTTCCACCTCAGGAACACAGCCCAAGGGGCTGGGGTGATATAGTGAGTCCAGACCTGGTGTTGGCCCCAGGCTACAGCTGCCTCTTGTAAAATGCAAGACAACTCCATGTCTAGTGGCAAAATACCCCAGCTCTGGGGTTGGGTGGACTAGATTCAAATCCTCTTTCTGCCTATTGCTGGCTGTGTGGCCTAGACAAGAGCTTCTTCTCCCTGAGCCTTAGGTCCTCTAAGTGTGAAATGGGACTAACTCTGGGCCTCTCCTCCCAGGGGTGCTGTGAGAAGTGCTGGGATAATGTATGTAGGCCCCTGATAGACAGTTGCTACAGTGATGTTGATGATTACAGTTGTTGCTGGTGTCTGGTCACCTCACTCCCTTCCACCTCAGGTTTCTCATCTGTTTATGACCCCGCTGCACAGGGTTATGGAGAGGCTGTAGTGGGTAGATTATGCAGCCAATATGCTTAATCAATTGCAACTGCATTCATCATTTTTGCCTTCTGTAAAGACTAAACGAGCTTGAATGGGCTTAGATCTACAGGGTACCTATATTCACAAATTCTGCCATGCTTGGGTGCTGATATATATAGCCCTTGGCACAGATGTTTCCTCTTTCTGCCCCAGTCTCCCCTCTGGAGTCCAGTTAGGGAGGTTAGGGAGTCTCAGGAGAATTCTGATTGATTGTGGGGCCTGGATGGAGCTTTATGCCAAGATACCCTCCCAGGAAGGTCCTGGGCTAGGATTGATTAGTGATGTCTGCCACAAGTTCAGGATGAGAGAGTGGAGACACTGCATGTTTCCCAGTACAGAACGAAGTCATCTCTAAGGTCCCTGCAGCCAGTGCTGGGTATATCGACACCACATGTTCAAGGAGAGTGGGACCCTGAGACTTGCCTGGGGCTGGAGGAAGGAGAAGGAGACCCTGATGTGGGTTCCAGTCTTGGCTCTGTTAACAACCTGCTTTGTGAGCCTGAGCAAGACATTTGTTTTCTCCCAGGGCCTGTTTCCTCTAACTACAAAATGAACACTGGTTCTCTGCTAGACAGCTGACACTTCGGGGCTCTGACAGGTGATCAGGAACATCTGGGCTACCTGCTACATTTCCACGAGATGGCACAACTAGAGCTCTTGCCTTGCAGGAAGCCCACCCGCTCCTTGGGCACAGAGATAACTGCCTACTCTCTGAGGCCATGAGGGCCAGGACCACAGGGCATCATCCCCAGGACCTGACACACAGATGCACAACAATTATCTATTACAGCCTGCAGAAGCATTTTTCTTTACCACTGATTAATTAAAGTGTACACATTTAGACACTCATACATTTTATTTGTAACAGTATAATATGCTTGCTCTTAGAGTCAGCCTTGGGTGTGCATCCCAGACTTTTCCCTTGCTGGTTATATGATAGAAGGCAAGTACACTAACATCTCTAGGCCTTTTGTTTTGTTTTTTAACATGAAACCTAGAAAGTCCTAGGACATTCTAATTACCTTAGAATAGTTGCTCAGTTATCTGAGGAAATGTCCGTAGAGATCCCAGGCTATCCTTGGCTAGATAAGATGCTTCATGAATAACAGAGATCTATGTCATTACTATTACTGCAATAAACAGTACTCAGCAGTGACCAAAAACAGCATTTAGGTGCCCAGGAAATAGGGAGGATGACAAGGGGCAGGGTGTGCAGTTCTTGAAAGTGTGATGGGTCTGGGTTCAAATCCTGGCTGTGCCTTGTGAGCTTTCCCATTCATAGACTCAACTTACTCACCTGTAAACTGGGCACAATGGGTGTTCCTACATCCCTGAACTGGTCTGAGGCATGCCCAAGTTAACGTGTAGAAACCGGACACTCAGTCCCTAGAAATGTGCTCTCCTTGCTGTTCCACTGGAGTGGGAGCCCCACAAGGCAGGGGTCTTTTCTGTTTTGTTCCCTGGTATGTCGCCTGTGTCATCACAATGCCTGTGATCTTAGCTGATGAACACATGTTCTGCGACACGTTGTTGCTGCTGTTGTTATAACACGCAGATTGGCAACACTGCCCCTAGGTGACCTCCCTGAAGGAGAGCCATGCCGCTGCTTTCAAGTACTTTCCAGGTATGTCTGCCTCTCCCCAAACACTGGGCACTTTTGCTGCATTAAGCCCACCCCTCCCTTCTCTCTGCTTCCCTGTCAGGTGACCACAGGTATGCGTTGTGCTTTAGAGTGTGGACTTGGCTGGCCCAAGGTTGCTCCCCTGTGCATGTTGCTCCAGCTGGTGGGAATGTAGCCAGTAGCCCCCATTTGTTCCTGATCATCCCTCAAAGCCCCATGGGGTCAGCGGTCTGGTAGGGAACCTCTGTTCATCTTGTAGTTAGAGGAAATGGAGACCCAGGAGATAATGACTCTCTTACTCAGAGTCACAAAGCAGGTTATAAACTAGGCCAACACTGGAACCCAGATAAAGGTCTCTCCTCGCTACCACAGCACTAGGCAGGTCCCAGAGTCCCAACCTCCATGATCATGTGGTGTCCATGGGCCCATCACAGGTGGAGGGACCTTTAGCGATGACGTGGTCCTGCCCTGGTGAACATGCAGTTGCTCCACTTTCCCCTCCTGGACAGTGGCAAACATCACTAATCTATCTTGCCCTCCAAGCCCAGGACTGCCTGGGCCATCTTCTCTGCAGAAAGCCCCATCCAGTCCCTACAATCAATGAGGTGGATTTGACACCATAGTTCTTAGAGTCTCTAACATGGTCCTGGAAGGGAAACTGAGGCTTAGTGAAGAACCGTACCTCCCAAAGTCTACACACCAGCCACCAAGGGAGCCAGAATTTGTAGATAGGGGTCGACTGGAAATCTGAGCCTATCTAGGTCATGTAGTCTTTATAGCACACAAAATAGGAAATGTAGTTGCCATTGATAACGCATAAAGCATATGGGATGTTTCATCTCCTCACTTCATTCTCTCCATAACACTGTGGGGTGGGGTCATGTACAGACGGGAGACCAGAGGTGGAGGGGAGGAAGTGATCAGACACCAGCAATAATTATAATATCATCATCACTGCTGTAGCCATGAATCAGGGGCCTGCCCACATTCACCAGATGCATTTCACAGCACACTGCAGAGGAGAATTCCAAGTGTATGAGTGCTGAGTGGCTTCAGTTGTGTCCGACTCTGTGTGACCCTAAGAAGTGTACCATGCCAGGCTCTTCTGTCCATGGGATTTCCAGGGAAGAATAGTGGAGTGGGCTGCATGGCCTCCTCCAGGGGACCTTCCCAACCCAGGGATCAAACCCACATCTCTTATGTCTCAAGCGCTGGCAGGTGGGGTCTTTACCACTGAAGCCCTATGGGAAGCACAGAGTCCCAAACATACTCTCATTTCACAGAGAAGGGACCTGAGACTCGGAGAGCAGTCCTGTGTTCAGTCCACACATCCAGCAACAGTAAATGAGGGGACTCGAACCCAGTCTGCCCGAATCTAGAGCTGAGGTCTGCTCACAACTTCCTCTGTACCTTTTTTTGCCATGGGGATCCAGGTACCATGTAGTTTTAGCCAATTTACAGTGGGAAAGCAAATGCCTGGGGCCTCCAGCAGATCTGAGTTCACTACATCTGTCTCCAGCCACTGGGCTGTGATCCTGAGGCCAAAAATTCTCTTCACCAAAATTTTCCACAGCCTACACCTCTGTCCCCACACCAAGGGAAGGAGGATCCCTGATGCTTGCAGAACTGGGCACAGACAGTGGGGAGGGTGGACTGCTGACAGTCCAAGGCTCTGCTGGATGGGATCTTCCATGTCCCAGCCCCAGACTTGGGCACCTGGGCTGCCACCTCCCTGCTCTGTGCTCTGAAGACAGAACCACAGTCAGGGTGAGGAAAGCTAGCTCCTCAAACCTCCAGCCCTGAACTTATTTTGTCTTGACCTTGTTCATCAGGTTCCTACTGATGTGGGAGGGTGACCAGAGGAGATGGACCCTGGATGACCTGGAGCTCTCTACTGGTGCTCCCAGCTGATTCCAAGCGGGCATCCATCTGTGCATCCTGGACCCAGTGTTCCGGGTTGACAGTGGCCCAATGCATCAAGCGTAACAACCAACTCAAACAGCAGAAGTCAAGGAATAAGCAGGGTATTCAAGCCTAGGACTCTCCTGCCCCACCAGCTGGTCTCAATGTGATCTGAGTGAAAGATCCTTCCCTTTGGACCAAATCCTGGGCCCTGTCCTTGTGAGACCCGGGCGAGTCACCTCCCTTCCCTGAACCTCAGTATCCCCAATTGGAAAAGGGGGTTTTCCCTGCCTCCTTAGTGGGTTTTGACGAGCACCAATGGTGAAAGTGGACCCTCAATGCCAAGCCAAGGGCCAGCCATTTGTTTGCCCCTCGTGGGTGCTGGACTGGGGTCAATGACTGTGACTCACGGTTTCTTCCAGAGGCTGTGAGCTGGAACAGCCGATCTTGATGGGAGAGGATGCAGAACTGGGAGCACTCTACAGGTCTGCCCCTTCCCATCTTTTAACCTTGAGCAATTCATCCTTCCCTTCTGAGCATCACACCCCTCAGCCAAGAAGTGAGGGCGGTAACACCCCCTGCCTGGTTCCTGTTGAGCTGAAACAAGATGAAGCATGAGAAAGAAGCACATATGGTTGTGAGAGCCTTGTCTAGGCAGAGCCAAGGTTCCAGAGGAAGCGGGGATGGGGGTGGTCACAGCTCTTAGAAATCAAAGTTTAAAGTACCTTTGGGCCACCTATTCTAGTTGTTTCCATTTCTGGCCAGAAACTAGGGAACCAGACTATACAGGTGCCCCTGACCCTAAGTATCTAGGAAGGGGCTCAGCATCTAAAGTCTAAGCAAACTTATCAGATAATATTGCTTAATTTTTATGGTAAAAGACTATTACCCAAGTAGATAATTTCAAGAAACCTAACGTATGTGAAGAGAAAGAGGAAAATAAGTGAGGCTCAAGTCATGTGTGGCCTTAGATGAGTCCTTCTCCTTCTCTGGGCCACAGTCTCCCTAGACTTTTAAGCAAGAAGTGAAAATGATGACTCTAAGCTCTCCTGTGTCCTTGATGTCTGTTATGTTTCCAATGTGGTTGTGTGACTCTCGAGTAGATACCAGAATGGAGGAAGACATGAGTCTACAAATCTGTTGTTAGGATTTCCTGTGGATTTGAATGGCAGGACCCAAGTCAAACTAGCTTCAACAAAAATAAAAAATAGGAAGTGAGAAGCCTATTTCAACTTTAACATTTCTGGCAAGAAGGGCTTCAGGCACACTTGGATCAAGGCACTAAAGTGATACATTGTCTCATCCCCTTTGTATAGCTTCTTTTTCTAGTGAACTTTGTCATGTAATTGTGTCTAAATTCTATCTTTGAGGACAAAGCAGACCCAGGAAACATGTGAATCCTAAAGCCCCTTGTGAGTCATGGGATCTAGCCAAGGATTTTTCAATTTCTTTTACATTTTCAAAGGACCAATACTATTTTGGTTAATAATTTGTATTCTTTTTGTCTTCTTTATTTCATTTACACCTGCTGTAATCTGTATTGCATTCTTTGAGTGGTAACTTTGAACTTAGTTTATCCTTCTTTTTAGTCCCTTAAGGTACAGTTGTATGTTGCTCATTCGGGTTTTCTTACTTCTTAATGTAGGCAGTTATTGCTGTTCTTCCCATATTTAGGTTCTAAACAAGTGAGTACTGCGGATGTATTGAATAACTTGATGACTATTGCTAACAGTTTATGGTATATGTATGTCACATCATATATCTTTTGTATATCATACATCTGTTATGGTGTATGATATACAGGAATCTGGTTAAGAGAGCAAATCTTAAAGAGTCTCATCACAAGGAAAAAGCATTATTGTTTTTCATTATTTTTTATTGCATGTATATGAGAAGATGAATGTTAGCTTAATCTACTGTCAAAATCATTTCTTAATACATAGAAATCAAACTTCCCTTTAACATATACAGGGATGAATGTCAATTATTTCTCACAAAAAATTGAAACAAAGAGTATTAAAAAAATGTAAACCATAATCATGAGAGCTGACACTTCCTGAACCTTCGGTCTGTATGGGACAATGATGACAAGGTAGCTTGGGTAGACCTAGAAGGTGGAAAACATGGTCTCTTTGTTGGGGAAACATTGAGCAGTGGCCCCCACTTACAAGGAGACAGGTCCTGAGCAGAATCTTAGGGCTGAGGAGGATTGAGAAGCTGGAGGGAGACAAGGAATGATGACCAGGGGGTGGATCAGCCTGGACAAAGGCTCAGCACTGACCCGAGTGGGCTACTGCTCAAGAGAAGCCCTGAATTGTGAGACCTCCTTGTGTGCTGTTGTGGCAGTTGGGATTGTCACAAAATATAGACAGAGAAGAAAATTCTAATCCCTTTGCTATGGCCAGCAGGGAAAAAAATAGCTCTGGAGGAGACTGACTTTAAATGGAATCCAGCTCTGCCTCTGACCAGCTGTGTTGCCCTGGAGAAGTCACTTCACCTCTCTGAGACTCAGTTGCCACCCCTACTCCAAGAACCATTCACTGCGTCACTTGATAGAAATCAGAATTGATATACAGTGTATAAATATTGAATATGGGATTTCTCAGCACCATTTGACAGTCATTCCAGTGTGCATAGGCTGACATTCATCTGGTGCTCACCAGTGTCAGACTCTGGTTAAGCATGTTACACACACTGACTCATTGAATCATCATGAACATCAACGAGGAGGTTTTGCAATTAACTCCATCGGGTAGGTGAGAGAACTGTGGTTCTAGTAATTTGTCTGAGATCCCACAGCTGGCAAAGGGCAGAGGCCAAGTCAAGCTCAGCTCTGTCCAACCTCTCACCTCACACTCTCAGCACTCCCGACACAGCCTAAACTGATGTCCTCTTTGGAGAGCTCAGGAGAGCTGGTCCAAGGCCCCCAAGCGGCACCAGGGACTGAAGGGCCCCCTAGGGTTACTTGACCTTGTGGGGCATCCTTCAGACAGAAGGCCCGCCCATGTGTGGCCCTGGCCTCTGTTAACCCAAGTCTCCCCTGAGGAGAACAACGGTTCTTCCCTCACAGAATTGTACACAGCGCTGAGATGGCTCCCTGGGAAAATGGGCAAATGTTCCCTGGGCCTCTTGGCAGGAATGTCAGATGGTCTCCTGGAAAGCAGAGGCCCAGGGTCACTGAGGCGACAGCCTGTGTGATCTGCAAAGGTGACACAGCTGACAGTGAGGGGTGCTGTGCTCCCCACTGCAAGGCAGAAGGGAAACTCAGTGCTTGCATGTTGAGGAGACAGAAGGGCCACGAGAGGACCTCGTCAGTCCTGAGCAGAAGAGACCCAGGCCAGGACAGGGGGACCTGCTGAGGCCTGAGGAGAGGTGGCTGAGCTCTGGGGCATGGGACGTCACCTCGATGAGCAACCAGTCCCTAGATGTGGGTTTAAATCCTAGTCCTACCAGAGGCGACCCTGGAACTACCCTGCTACTTGATGAGTCACTTGTCCTCCATGAGCCTCAGTTTCCTAATCTGTACAATGGGAACAAGAGCGGTGTCTCCTGGCCGAGGGGTGCTGTCAGGAAGTCAAGAGGTCAGATATGCTGGTGAAGACAACTCTCCAGCATGGTGGTGGCGTTAGCAGAAGCAGAGTGAGGCTGTCTCTACGTGACCTCAGGTCACTTTCTTGCCCACCCCGGTCCTCAGTTTTCCTGTTTGTAAGACAAGAAGGTGGGGCTGGATAATCCCCAAATTCCCTCCCAGCTTTGGACTCAGGACTCTGCTGCTCTGGCTGCCTATACCTCGTCTTCCCTGAAATCCCAATGGAAGGAATGCAGGACCACACAGGAGGTGCAGAAATGGCTTTTTATTGCTGGGGGTGGAGGGCGATGAGCATAGGATGTCCTGACTGTGCGCATGAGTATCTGAGAGGCATCTTTTGACTGGATTCGGTTGTCACTCCTGGGGGATGGTGGCAGCACCGACCGTCCCAGAGGGAGACGGTACAGAGATTCAGTCACGTCCCTGGGAACCAATCTGGAGGAGACCCCAGTGTGAGGCATGGACACTCTGAGGACCTTACCTGCTCCTGGGTTCGCCAGACATGGCTGCAGGAGTGCTTCCCCCAAACCCTGAGAGCTCTGAGGCTTGGGGAGGGACTGGCACCTGGCACTGACCCCTCTTCATCCCCTCACCCTCCCACCCCCTCACATTAGCAACAATGGCCGATGTGAAAAGACTGATCAGGGCCCAGAGGAGCCAGGGTTCAGGGCTCAGCGTATGATCAGGATCAGGGATCAGACTGAGATGTGGGTTAGGTCTTTATCTGTGACCACTGTCAGGGCTCAGTCAACTACTGGAGTCAAAGCTCAGTCTGACTTTTTGGGCTCTTTCTGCTCAGGGAGCAGAATCAGGTACAGTCTGGGTGTGTGATTAAGGGCGAGGACTCAGTCTATGACCAAGGTCAGGGCTCAGTCTGCGGCTAGAGAAAGAAGAGAAACTCAGCTGGTTTCTGCCTCTCTTCTGGCCTCTTGGGGGGTCTCATGCTTTCTCTGCCCCGGGCCCTGAGCACATCCTCACCAGCAGGTGGGCATCACAGCAGTTTTCCTCATCTGTGCTCTTTACTTTCCCTGTTGAGTTCTTGAATTTCATCTGAAAAAAGAAGTCAGTAGCAGTTCTCATCTCCAGCTCTGGAAATTTGAATAGAAATCAGCCACCAGTGGCTGCCACCTTCCAGCCGGTCAACTGACTGCCATGGGGTCTCTTGCATGTCACTCCGTCTCTCTGTGCTTCCTCTAGTTCTTCTGAAAACTGGGTACGATGCTACTACTCACACCCACAGGATCATTGCAAGGATCAAATGAAATGGTTACGTGAAGCACAGAGTGATCGCCCAAGGACCAGGGCCTTTGGCTATTTTCTAGAAGAACTGTCTTCATGTCCCTGACACTGTCACTCACCCTGCTTCTGTTACCCACAGCCCCAGCAACCCCAGCCATGCCAGAAACCCAGGTCAACGAAGGCCCCCAGGGCCTGGAGGTGAAGCCACAGTTCCTCATAAAGCAAAGGGAAGGGTCAGTGTTTATTAACAATGCCTACTGGATACTAGGATTTTTCTGCTTTTTCTTTAAATTGACTCATCAGTTCAGCAGCGCTTACAATCTCCTTTCACCTGTGAGCAACCCAAGGCTCAGAGAGGTGGAGCAAGTTGACACCGACCCCACAGTTGCCAAGTAGCCAATCCAGGATTTGAACCCAGATCTGGCCCGTCCTCTTTCTCACATTATTCTGGGCAGCAGGTTCTGCCAGTTTGACAAAGGAGGGCAGCAGAAGCTCTCAGAGGCCCACAGAGGCCATTGGTCTGCAGGGACCGCCCCCAGCCACACTCTCCAGACTTGCTCAGGATGAAGGGTCTGCAGCTTCTCCAGGGTCCCCTGACCAGACCTATTGGTGCTACAGGCATAGAGTGTCATGCACCCCATTGTGAGGCTGCAGAGGGAGCCCCCTCCCCGCTTCCCCAGGCTGTGACTTACCTTACGGATGCAGTTCTTAGCATAATCTGCATCCAGGCTCTCCAGGAGGCTGCAGACTAGTGGGCACACCTGAGAGTCACAAGGAAGGAAAGAGAGAGACAGAGAGAAATGGAGAGAGGGAAGGAAGGAAAGAGGTCAGGAGATGAGGAGGGAGACGAGAGACGGAGAAGGAAGAGAACTGGTTATTACCCTCTGTGAGCATCCTGCCTGCCACCCACAGAGAAACTCAGTACTGGGGGTCTCAGAACTTCTTACCCTTAGGATCCTACAACAGTGGAAACCTAGAAGGCTCAAATCTGAGAACCAGAGGACAGTAGAATCCTAAAACCTCAGAATATCCTAGAACCTTGAAGAATCTAGACTTTTAAATTCCAAAGCCCTGTACCCTTAGAAACCTTGACCTCTGACTCTGAAACTTTATAGAGTTAAATGGGGCTGTAGGAATGATACAGAAGTGATTTTGTGTTTTTTCACACTTTTGTGTGCCTACAGTTCCCTGGGGAGGCAGCAGGTCTGGAATAGGACCTAAGAGTCTGCATTTCTAAAGAGTGTCCATGGGAGGTCAGTGCTGCTGGTCTGAGGAACACACTTTGAGCATGACTCAAGTTCAGTAAATCACAGAGTAAAATGGAGGATTTTTTTTCTTTTAATTAAGCCAGAGTCCCAGCCTCCTTCCAGAGTGACTAATACAAAATCTTTGGAATTTTGGGTACATGGTACATATGACTTTTTTACATGATACACATGCATCTGAAATATTATATGTATATTTTTATGTACATGAATTAAGTATGTTTTTAGTGAAGAAAAATATTAGCAAAAAGGCCTACTGGCCGTCCATAGGTATTATAAATGGTTCAAGTGTGGGACCCAGTGATTTCAGCTTATGTTGGGCCCCTGTTCACCTCCTCCCCAGGTCAGGCTGAATAAAGGGGGACAGGTAGCAACTCACAGCCCAAAGGGAAGTTGGCCCCCCAGAAAGGAAAGTGTCCAGAGAGTACAGCCTACACAGGGAAGGTCACCTCTGCCCCCACCAGGCCCGGCTCTGCAACCCCAGGAGTGGGGGATTCACTTCATAGTGCATCACCGGGGATAACACTTCATTCGTGAGGTTGATCACAAGGCCCACAACCTCATTGAGCAGTTCAATGTGCCTGAAGAAGAGAGGAAACTGATAAAGCTCGGTGAAGTTGGCAAAGCAAATAAGCAGGAGCAGTGGGAAGAGGGTGGAAGATGGTGGAGCACCTTGAAGTCAGGTAACCTGAGCCTCTACCCAGGGTGATCATCACTTAGAACCCCATGGTTGACCAGCAGCCCACACCAATATCTCATGAGAATCTCATCACAACCCTAAGACTTCCTCCTTCCATCCATCCATCCATTCTTCCATCCATCCATCCATCCATCCATCTAGTCATCCTTTCACTCATCTGTCAACGCATATGTAGAGAACACCAACTATCTGCCTGGAACCAAGGCTATCTGGGGACACAGTGATGAACAAAGCACAAGTGACTCCTAACGTGGTACCTAAGATATTGGCTAAATATTGGCTAAAAGGTTCGTTTGGAGTTTTCTGTAACAGCTTATGGAAAAGCCCCAAAGACTTTTTGGCCAACCCAGTGTTAACACGTTTTCCTAAGCCTGTCTCCTTCCCACCTTCAGCTCTTGTAACTGTCACGTCCTCAGGGCAGCCCTTCCTTGTGACTGCTTGCCTAAAGGAGGGCTTTGTGTCATAGCGCCCTGTTGGGTGTGCTGTTCTGCCCAGGGATGATTGCAGTCTAACATTCCTTGCAGGCTCTTTACTGCTGAACTGAATGCTTGCCTGTCTGCTTTTCCCTCCAGAGACTAAGCTCCACGAGAACAAGCTCCTTGCCTCAGTCACCAGTAACTTCTCCAGACTTTAGAAAGGTGGCTGTGGCCTGGAGCAGATACTCCACACATTTTTGGCTGAAGGAATATATCAAGCAAACATACAATTGAATGTATAATGACAACTTGTGACAGGTATTCAGAAGGGCAAGAGGAGAATCTTAAGCAAGAGGAGAGGAGGAACCTTGTTTTAGACCCTAAACGATGAGACATACATGGAAATGGGATGCAGGAAAGGTGTCCTAGGTGCCTGAGCAGCCCATGCACAGATCTTGAGTGGAGGGAGTTTGTCTGAGCCACATAGCAAAAGCTAGCAGGGCTAGGGTAGAGTGGGAAAGGTGTGGATCCAGATCAGATGAGCCAGATGGCCCTGAGAGTGCCTGAGATTCCACCTAAAGTGGATTGAAAAGCCCCCAGAGTGTTTGGAACAGCAGAGTCGAATGCCTTTTTACAGATACAGACGCTGAGACCTAGAAGACAGGTGATACCCTGGCGCTATAGGCTACGCAGCGTCCAGCACGGCTCAGGCACTTGGACTTACATCTCAATCTTTCCAGGTGATCGTAGGCTGCAGAGCCTGTCTTTATTTTGGGGGTTGTCTAGGCAGCCTGTGGTCCGATCCCTTGTTGAGGCAGGATTCACAGACCTCAGCCTTGTTTCTTGCCAAGGCCAACCTTCTCCAGCCTTCAGTTTCCAGACCTTTTCTCCTCTCCCAGCCAGGACCAAGATCAGCCTTTCTCCTTCCACCACCTTCCCTGGGCTAAACATGCTCTTTCAAGCACAGAGTTTAAGATGTAGATTTGGTGAGTTACCAGAGATCAATGATTTAAATGGAGATGTTTAAGTTTTCAAGATCTCATTTTGGGAATTTCTCAGTGGGAAAAGGATAATTTGAGGATAATCTGAAATTATAGCTCATGGTAAGTATTTACTACTCCTCTTGGCCCTCCTAACTAGAGGCAAGAAAGTAAACACAGTGAATTATTATTATTATCAAGGAATATTATGTAATATGAGAAGGGTCAGTACTTTGAGTAGACATAGCAAAGTTAAATGCGCAGGCATCTAACAACAGAGTTTCAAAAAGCATGAAGTAATAACAGGTAAAACTGAAAGGTGAAATACAGCAATTCAGAGTTATGGTTGGAGAGATCAACTCTCCTGTCTCTGTAAGGGGAAAAACCAAGAGACAGAAAGTCAGCATGCATATTATCATTACCTGAGAGCTTAGTATGTGCCAGGTTGTATGGTAAACACTTGTATTTTCTCATTTGGCCAAAACCAGAAGGCTATGAATTAGGTATTATTACCATCCCCCATTTACAGATGTGAAAACAGAAGCTTCTAGAGGCTAAATTGATTACAAAACCACAAGTTAGTGGCAAAGCTAGCTTGACTCCAGAATCTGATCTATTCTTTACCATACTCTGCTCCCTCCTGGGTAAGGAATAGGGCTGAAATTTTGGGATCCAACTCCTCTGTGATCACCACTCTGCTGAAATGTGTGAACCTGACCTGCCCAGCATGGTGAGTGAGATGCTGTGTTGATAGTTCCTGCATTCTTCCACGACCACCTCGGAGACACCAGTGTCTTCATCAGTTTTAACGCTGACACGATGCTGGAGGACCAAGTTGAGGGCCAAGTCAACAATCTCACCTAACACAGGCTTGCAGAGAAATAGGTCCACAATGAACAGAGGTAGAGAAATCTCTTCACATTACCTGCTTTAGTCTTTCTCTTGTGTGGCCATTATATGGGATGTCTATGAACAAGGATAGGGAAGCCTGGCATGCTACAGTCAGTGGGGTCGCAAAGAGTTGTACAGAACTTAGTGGCTGAACAACAAATGGGCAATGTCAACGTAGTCTGTATTCTTTATGGAAGCTATATTCTTACATTAGGGGTTTCTTCTCCTGACCACAAGGGTTTGGCTTATGCGAAATTTCTATGGAGTATCACTCTGATGATTAAAATAAAAATGAGCTAACATTTCTTAAGCAAAATGCTACATTAGGAATTTCAGAAAAAGTATTTTACCTGGATTAATCTATTTAATCTCAGCAACAATACCATGAGAAAAAAGCACCATTGTCATCTCTATTTTCAGAATGAGGAAACATCATATAAGGAAGTTACATAACTATCTCAAGGTCTCATAATTAATGAATGAGGAAGTCATAGTTCACTTTAATTTATAAAGACTCCTACACATCATTTTACTATCTCTTTGTATCTTCAAAGTAATTAAAATATGTAGAAATTATATTTTCCATATAATTTCCACATGCTCTTCATTACATACTGTACACTGCTGTATGGCCCATACTGGTCACTGCCTTTTAAAGAGAATCTTGAGAGACAAAATGATGCTGGAGGAAACTTTGCCAAAGAGTTATAAGTGTTCATGTCTTTTCAATTCTCAAGTTTTATGATTAGATAAGTGCTATGATTTTGGAAAGATAGTTCATGGAGAATTTTTTTATTTTTTATTTTTTTATTTTTTTTTCCACTTATTTTTATTAGTTGGAGGCTAATTACTTTACATCATTACAGTAGTTTTGTCATACATTGAAATGAATTAGCCATGGATTTACATGTATTGCCCATCCCAGTCCCCCCTCCCACCTCCCTCTCCACCCGATCCCTCTGGGTCTTCCCAGTGCACCAGGCCCGAGCACTTGTCTCATGCACCCAACCTGGGCTGGTGATCTGTTTCACCCTAGATAATATACATGTTTCAATGCTGTTCTCTTGAAACATCCCACCCTCGCCTTCTCCCAGAGTCCACAAATCTGTTCTATACATCTGAGTCTCTTTTTCTATTTTGCATATAGGGACCCAGATGCCCATCAGCAGACGAATGGATGAGGAAACTGTGGTACATATACACCATGGAATA